GCTTCCCTGGCCCCATGTGTGTTGGGGAGCTGCAAATTAATGCTCAGACCTTCCAGCCCAAACCTGCGAGTGGCCTTCCACGTCTCCTGAGATCCCTCTGTGCTTCTGGTCCCTTCGCTCTTCCCTCCCTTCCCTGATCTGTGACCTTGATGGAGTGAGCCGGACCTTCTCGGGCCCGGTGAGCTGGATGCTTCTCCAGGATCATCTTTCCCCTCTGCTTTAGGAGCTGCCAGGGATTTGCCTGGAAGAGGAAGGCAGCGGGCTCGCAGCTGAAGGAGGAGAGGGTAGGGAGGGACCACCAGAGAATCCCCATGGTTTGAATGTTAATTTTGAATTTGCCAGATCCCAGCCTGTGTTTTTTCCTGCCTCAGTTTCCCCTTTATGGACCCAAACAGTATGTAAGTGTAGCATTTGGACACAAGAGAGGAGAAATCTCCTGCCATGCTCGTCCTTCAGACCCAGATCACGTTTGCTGCTGGTGACTGCTCTGCTCAGAGGCTGCTGTAAATTCACATCTCCTCCCCGCCTGTCTCTGCGCTCCCAGGCCCAGCTGAAAGCTTTGCTGACACGTTTCCAGCCTCCTTTATTGCTCCCCAGCTGCCTTCCCAAGAAAGCAAGGACGGGCCGAGACAGGACACACAGCTCGGAGCATCCCTCCTCCGCTGAACCACGCGTGATGCTGCTGGCAGGGCTGGGGGACGCAGTGCCCTCGGCTCCCGGAGGTCTGCACTCACCCCAAATAGCAGCTTTTCCCTCATGGACATTTCTGTCTCCAGCTGGGATTGATGGGAGCCTCCAGGTATGGATTAAACCCCCCTGGGTGGGGCAAAGCAGGAGCTTCTCCGTCTCTGCCCCTTCCCTGGGTGGGGTGAATCCAGCTTGTACCACGGCAAACCATTGCCCTGGGCCTTCGACCCGCTGCAGCGGCGGCTGCCCCCCACCCGTGTGTCACCTGGGCGGGGGGGGACACGGATGGGGTTTGTGACTTGGTGCAGGCAAGGACCACTCTGGTGGGTCAGGTGTGGCAGTGGGGCTCGGGATGGCGGTTGCTTTGCACAGGGGCTCAGGTCCATCACGAGGTTAGAGATGAAGGCACCCAGCAGTAAGCATGAAAGGGAGTCCCATTTAAGGGGATACCCAGGAGACACCAAGCAGCAGGAGACACGGGAGGTCAGTTATCCCCAGGGACAACCCAGTGATGCTTTCCCCAATGTCTCCCCTCGTAACTCCCTGTGGGATGTTGGTGGTGGCTCTCAAGTCATCTCGAGAGACCCCTGCACCAACCCCAGTGCAAACTGGTCTTTTCCCTGATCCTGCCATGGGAAAAGCCGTGATCCCTCTCCAGGTCCCTGCGAGGGTGGCATCAGCACTGGTTTTACCTGGGAAAAGGTGGTTGGTGCCCAGGCACCCCTGGTCTGGCAGCGCAAGTGAGGTTGTTGCAAGCCATGGGCTCTGGAAGACCCTCATCTGTCTTCTAAAGAGAAGGAAAAAATGCACATTTAAGAAAACTAAGGTCATGAGGGCTAAGTAAACAAGCTGAATCTCCATCTGTCAGTGACAAGGGTTTTCTGTCTCTCTCCGTCCTGGAAAGCTCCTGGTTGTCAGCTGATCTGCCTCGTCGTTCTTGCAGGGTGGTTATTATTTTTGGCAGATGAATTTTATATTAAATTCCCTTTTCAATCAAAGGAATGAGTGGAAATGTCTTTTGCGGATGGATTTGGACTGTGCTTTCCAGTTTGAGGGGTGCAGGCCTTGGGGCTGATGCAAAATGGTGAGGAAATTAATAGAAAGAGCCCCGTTGACCCCACTGTTCCCCGGATCGGGTCCCCATGCCCTATGGGTTGGTGGATTTGTGCTGGTTCTGGCTGGGCTCCTTTTGGCAGGGATGTGGATGGCAAAGGCTGGGTGCACTCACGGCATCGCTGTTGGGAACGGTCCTCTCTCCTTCAGGCCTGGATCTCCTCTGGGCAACACCACCATCACCAGGCTGAGCCGTTTGGGAGATGGCAAGACCTTCCTAAGCAAGCCATGGGGACAGAGTGACAGAGCCATGCCGGGATCAGGATTTGGACCTCTACCATAGTCTTCCCCTGCTCTAGTTCAATTTGGCCACGTCTCCCATAGGGAGGAAGACTTGTACCTCTGTTCCTTCACTCTCGTCTCATCCCCTGGTGTTGTCTCACCCTAATGCCTAGAAAGCCCTTGCCCCAGCCCCAGGAGAGCAGCCAAAGAGCAAAAGATCCCCTTTTGATGCCCGGATCCTTTAGGAATGTTGCTGTCATGAGCATCCCCCAAGGAGCTGAGAGCTTCTGGGGCTTTGGAGGTGCTTGAAGAGACCTGCTCCTCAAGGACCCCTGTGTCCTGCTGCCTCTTAACTCCTAAGGATAACACTGCGGGGGGGACCGAAACTGAGGAGAGGGAGAGGTGGAGATCCAGAGACAGATGCTGTGGGGTCTGTGCTGACCCCGTTGTGCTGGTCTGGCTCATCACCACCTTCCCTGGCACTGGGCATCTCCCAGGCTTCGCTCCAAGCGGTTGAGCTGTCCCAGGAGAGCAGTTTGGGTGCCCTCGCCATGGGGCACCGAGCTCTGGGGGCTCGGCCAGCAGATCCTAGGTCTTCTGGGCTCTACCTCCAGCATAAAGAGAGACTTTAGCCCCTGAGGCTGAGTCCTCCTGAAGGTCTGAGTCACCCTAACTCCGACGGAGCTGAAGTGGCTGCTGAGCAGACAGGGAGCAGCAAACAACCTGCGGGTGATTCAGCCAGGTCCGCACTAATCTGCACAGAGCCTGATCCAAAATCGATGGAAATCCCAGTGGTTTCCTGGCTGCTGGACAAGGCCCTTCCCTGCGCTCCGTGCCTGTCCCCATCCTGGCTGAGGATGCTCCAAGCCTCGGGCAGCCACGTGCCGGTAATTGCCACGATCGAGCCACGAGTGGTTTCACTGAATGAGCCCTCGTTAGGAAATTAAACGTTGCTGGGCCAGGCTTGAAAGAATAATTCAAACGGCTTCTCCGGAGGAGCCGGATGCAGGAAAGATGTGGAGCCGACACGGTTGCCCTGCAACGGACGCCACCGACAGCTTTTCTAATAGGAACGGGGCCTGGCAAAGGGGGAACTTTCTTCAGAGGTGAAAAAACACCAAGGTGAGGGCGAGGGAGGGTGAGGTTTCCTGCTGCTGATGCTTTGCTTCCCTCCCGTGCCAGGCTGAGACCTTGGTGTGCTGGTTGGGGATGGGCTTTGCTGGTTGGGGATGGGCTTTGCTGCTTGGGCTGAACCCGCTGCTGTGAAGAGGTTTGAGGTTGTGAGCTGAATTGGGTCAGAAAGATGGATGTTTGTCCAAAGGAAAGAAGAGCTGAGGATGGCTCTGGAAAAATCACGGGAGAGTTTTCCTTTGGCTTGCCGGAGGTGACAGCGGGAGGTCCATCCTGCATCATCCCTCCTGGTAGAGACCGGGTGCCCACGCTGAGGGCTGGCTGCCCAAGGACGGCGCTGATGGGTTATTTGTGCAATGTCACCTGTGAGATGCCACCTGGGTCTTGTACGAGCTTTGAACTGAAGGAGAAAGCCCCCAGGGTGAAGGGGAGATGATGCTGTAGCCAGGCCAGGCTGCGAGAGGTCCCAGGCATGGCACCATCACCCTTCCAGGGACTGGTGACCAGCCTGGTGTCCCCTGAGAAGCAGGCATGGAGGGGAGAGAAAAGAAGCCAGCACGGCCCTTTGGGAGAATCATTTTCCAAGATGTGAGGTTTCTTGTGGGTTTTCTGTGTCTTGGTGAAGCTCTGTGGTCCCAGCTGGTGCTGGAGCTGCCAGTCAAACCCCAGTTCTCCCAGTATGGAGAGGAGGGACATGGTGCTTTCCTGAGCTGGGTAGCTCCAGCCCAACGGAGCGGGTTTCCCTGATGCTCCAAAGCTTTTTGAGTTGGGGACGAGCGTTGCAGGGCTGAGCCGGCTCACGGGCACCCCCTGAAACGCCTCCATGCAGCATCGCTCCGGCAGCCGGAGGAGTC